CTCTGCGCACCTGAAGACCCGTAGCACCAGCGCCTCGGTCACTATGAGAATCTAGGATCGAACTCAGAAAAGATGATTGTGAATTGAATGATCACCTGGGTACAACACGAGGCTATATATAGGCTCGATACAAGGCAGGTAATCCAGGTGTTATGCGAATGTTCTGAGGGTCGCGAAGCGTCCCGAACAGAACCTTCCCGAACTCGGTAGAAAGCAATTCGGTGGAAACCGAATAAGCTTGAGTTCGGTACACGTAACCTGGTTTGGTGCTATAACTATAATAACTATAGTAAAGCAACGAACCTAGGAAATCAAGCAATTCATGCATGCAAAAAATTAACCTAAGCTAGTAATAGCGTAATAAGATAAAAGCAAGCATGCATGGCTGGCATAAGCCGTCGTACTCTCACACGTCCCCCCCTCAAAGCTGGGTGGCGTGAGATACACCCTGCTTGACAAGATAGTCCTTTTGAGCACGGCGTGCATTGCCCATATCAGCTTCTGCAACCCAACTATCCTCAGTGGGGTCGTATCCCTTCCAGCGTATCAGGAACTCGAGGGTCTTGCCGCCGCGGCGCCGATGAGTGAGAACGCGCTCGACCTCGTACTCTGGTTCGTCCTGCACAAGAACAGGTGGAGGTGGCGGTAGCTGCCGTCCCTTGACTGGTGGTTGGGGTCCTTGTAGGGCTTCAGTAGCTGAACATGGAAAGCGTTGTGAAGCTTCCACGTATCTGGTAAGCGCAAGCGGAATGTAACTAGTGTCACCTGTGCCTGTACAAGAAATGGTCCACAGAAGCGAGGCCGGAGTTTGGATGGTAGGTGAGACAGGTTCAAGTTGCACGTGTCAAGAAGCACCTGATCTCCAACTGCTACTGAGTGATCTCGTCGCTGGCGATCGGCATACTGCTTCTGGGAGTTCTGCATCGTGGTGAGACGCCGCTGAGTCTTCTCCCATAGCTGCTGCATGGTGGTGACGAAGTCGTGTGCGGCTTGGACGTGTGCCGGTGTGGTTGGCTGCTGTGGTGTGAGTGGTTCCCGTCCGTAACACAGGAAGAAATGAGTTTTCCCTGTGGCAGCACGCGAGGCGTTGTTGTAAGCGAACTCTAGGGTCGGTAACTGTGTGTCCCAGTGGCTAATGTCACCTTTGCAAGCTGTGCGCAGTAACTGTTCAACCACCTGATTGAGTCGCTCAGTCTGTCCGTCAGTCTGGGGATGGTATGCTGAAGACATCGCAAGCTTAGTCCCCAACAGTCCCATAAGCTCCTTCCAATACTTACTCGTGAATTTAGGATCTCTGTCCGAGATGAGTGTAGCGGGGATGCCGTGGATGGTGATGATGCGGTCGAAGAAGTGTCGTGCAGTTGCTTCAGCTGTAGCTATGGCGTTGGTCGGTATGAAGTGACCCATTTTGGAGAACTTATCGATTACTACGAGGATGGAATCGTGTCCCCGTGAGGTCGAGGGAAGTCCTGTGATGAAGTCTAGGCTAACGACCTGCCATGGCTGCTCCGGTACGGGTAGAGGCTGAAGTAACCCTGCTTTTTTCTGCTTGCTACTCTTCATCCGCTGGCACGTGTCGCAGGAGGTGACGAACTGCTGCACGTCTGCTGCCATCCGGGGCCAGTAGTAATATCTTGGTATTCTCGCTAACGACTTGTTGCTCCCGAAATGTCCCGCGTATGGTACGTCATGAAACTCCTCCAATAGGATCTGCCGTAGCGGGGCGTAATTCGGTACCCAAATCTTTCCTGATCCCTTCCTTACCGCTAAGTCTTTCTCCCACTATAACAGCTTCTGTTTCTCTGCCGTTGCTATCTCTGCGTCCACGGAGTACCCATGCTGGAATAGACCCTTGAGCAGAGGGTTCATCCCGTCGAGCTGGATGCTTGCTACATGACCTGGGCGGACGCATCAGCCTTGTTGTGTAGCCCGGGTTTGTAGACGATGTCGTAGTGGAAGTGGGTCTCCAAGAAATCCACCCACCGCACCTGTCGTCGTGAGAGCGTCGGCTGCGACTTCAGGTATTTGAGGCTGCAGTGGTCAGTGTATACTGTGGTCTTGGCTCCCTCTAGGTAACACCTCCACGCCTTGAAGGCTACGACTATGGCTAAGGCTTCCTTGTCGTGTATGGGGTAGTTCAGTTCTGCTCCGTGTAGCTTCTTACTGAGGTAGGCGATAGGCTGTAAACCGTTCCCGTGATCCTGCATCAGTACTGCTCCGACTGCCTGATCACTCGCGTCTGCTTCAACTACGTAGTCCTTCTCTGGGTCCGGTAGGATGAGTACTGGCGCTGTGGTCAGTGTTGTTTGTAGCTGTTCAATGGCTTATTGATGAGGAGTAACCCATTTGAAGGGCGTATCCTTTTTTAGTAGGTCTGTCAGTGGCGCTGCTATCTTAGCGTACTGCGGCACAAACCTGTTGTAGTAGTTGGCGAAGCCGAGGAACTGCTGCAACTCCTTCACGTTCTCTGGAACTTTCCACTTTTTAACGGCTTCGATTTTCCGCGGGTCCACGTGTACGCCCTCGGCACTCACCATGTGCCCGAGAAACTGCACCTTCTTCAGTGCGAAGTCGCTTTTTGACAGCTTCACGTAGAACTTATTTTTCTACAGGATCTCGGACACCTTCCGCAGATGCTCCACGTGCTCCTTCATGTTCTTGGAGTAGATGAGAATGTCGTCCAGGTACACTACTACGCACGCATCCAGCAGGGGCCGCAGGATGTGATTCATCTCCGCCTGGAACGTTGCTGGTGCGTTGCAGAGTCCAAACGCATCACAAAGTATTTGTAGGAGCCGTATCGCGTACGGAACGCCGTCTTGTGGATCGAGTTGTCCGCCATCTTGATCTGCCAGTAACCCGACCGTAGGTCCAGCTTCGAGAAAACTGTTGCACCACGCAGTTGGTCCAGTAAGTCGTCTATGCGCGGTATGGGATATTTGTTTTTTACTGTCTGTTTGTTCAGTGCGCGGTAGTCGATGCACATCCGTAAACTGCCGTCTGGTTTTGGGGTGAAGAGAACTGGTGCTCCGTAGGGAGAGACTGATGGGCGGATCAGTTGTCTGTCTAGTAGATACTCGATCTGTTTTTTCATGTCTGTCAGTTCGGTCGGACTCAGTCTGTATGGTGCACGTGAGACGGGTTTCGCACCTGGTTCCTCCACGATCTCGTGCTCGTGGGTGCGTGCTGGAGGTACGCCTGCAGGTAGGTCGTCGGGCATTATGTCTTTGTACTGCTCCAAGACCTCCTTCACTGCTGCAGGTAGCTCGGAACTCGGCTTCTCCTCCTCTGCTGCTGCCATGACCAGTGCTAAGTAACCCGTGTTACTCTCGTTCACCGTCTGTTCGAACCGTGCCAGTGTCGTTTCAGGAATGTCCCCTGTATCCGTCCAGCTTCGCAGTGCTATCCGCTTCCCGTTGTTGTAGATGCACACTTTGCTGTTGACCCAATCTATCTCGGGGTTGAACCGCTTCAGGAAATCTCGCCCCAAGATAAAATCTA